GCAAGGCATGGGGCTAGGGGGCCAGTGGGAGCTAAGTGGTTGGGGGCTGGGGATACAGGACTTCCTAGGAGACCGTACAGTCTAGAAGGAATCCATTTCTTAGGAAAAAACCTCACAGTGGGTATTTTAATAATTATATTCTTAAGAAGAAGCACTATTGGTCAGCTCGTAAGCTAATGGAAGCTCCATGTTCCCTAAGTCGGAAAGGCCAACCATTGAGCTCACTCAACCAAGAAGCAGACAACATGGGCTGGCCTGCGCAACCCCTACAATTACCAGAATAATCTCTCAGAGAAGGGGAAAGTCATTCTGTAGAGGGCTGGCCATCCCTCCTGGAATGGGGAGGCAATGTGGGGAGTTATTCCAGGTAAGACATTAGTAACCACAAAAGTGAAAAATGTAACATTGTACCAAACTATAAAAGACCTCTACAAGATTTAAAAGCCGCTGTAGTTGCTAAAGGGAGGTCAACAACATCTAAAAAGTTACGGTAGTCGGACAGCATTGCTCTCAGGCCTTAAGCGGCCTGTCTGGCAAGAGGTGGAAGGACCTGAGGGAGTGGCCGATGCAGCTGCCCCCACACGCCCACCCCTGCTGCTCCGTGGGGAGATCAGGGATATAGGGCTGATGTAGCCCTGTGTCTGCAGCATCTGTCCGTGCTGTGTGACCAGGCTTCAGCTGCATGAGTCAAGTGTGTGCATGGCATGATTGCACATCACAGAGATGCATGTGACCACGAGGACAAAGACACAGGAAGGACCGAGCTATCTGGGGGAGCTCAAGATGAGCTTCGCAAGAGATGGTACAATTTAAGCTGGGGCTTCAGGTATCAGGCATGCAGCATACGGCAATAGAGAACATGGTGTCTTTGGGCAGCAAGTGGACCAGGATGAGCTCAGTGGCTGGGAGACAGAAGTGGGGCCTTCCACATCAGGACATCCCAGCCTATACAGTATCTTGAGTATCACGCAAGGAACCCAGCTTTGAAGTCAGACATGATGGCTAAGAAGCAGGAAAGCAACGGGCTAGATCTGTGTCTTAGACAAACAGCCCTGCTTACATTTGTAGAATGTCTGGAGGCTAGAAGGCCTAACGAGGCATGGTGGGACGGGGTCATGTGTTAGACATACCCGGCCGGTGGACTCGACCTCACAACGTCTCCAACCTCATGACCCGAGGGGAAAAGGGGGATGACCATCTTATCTTCTAGGAGCTATTAAGTAAAGTAGAGGAGATGGACAGGGGGCTGGGTCCACTTTGGAGTGGAGTGCATTTAAAATAATTGGGACCTTTCAGCTGGAGGTGCCAGAAATCCCCTGGAAAGCAGGAGCGCATCTCAGAAATCAAAGCGCAGTGAGTGATGTGGATTTTAAGTCCACGTTTGTTGGAGGACTGATGGTGAGGTCACCGCATGAAAGGTGCCTGGCGGGGTACTTTCCACATGGCAGGAGCTCAGGTATGGTGGCCGGTGTCGCTGTAGTCATTCCTGGGAGCGGCCCCCCCCCCACCCCCCACTGCTCTGGAGGACAGTGAGGCCACAGAAGTGAATGAAACGGCCAGAAGGAGCCCTCCATCCGAAGAAACTCAGCAGAAACCAACAGAGACAAAGCCAAAAAGAGGAATGAAAAGCAAGAATCAAAAACATATGAGGAGAAACTAGAGAGAACAGGGTCTGAGGAGCCAGAGGAAGTGAGAATTTCAAAGGAGAGTGAATCAGTGTGAAGATAAGTGAGATAAAGGGTGAAGGGCACAGGCTGGCCGCGCAAGCTGGGAGGTTGCCTATGACCTTGCAAGGGCCTTTGTTGTGACCAAGTGCCGGGAGAAGAGGTTGCTACTGGGGGTGGGAATGCAGAGGGAGGGAGCCCTGGGTGGGGAGCCCCATGACAAGTCCCCCTGGAAAAGCTGAAGCTGATGGTCCTTCGAAGGAAATGTGGGGCTTCTTCCAATGCCTGCAGGGCATCTACTTCTGCCATTTTAACTACTCGCTATCTGATATTTGATATTTGAAACCCACAATACACTAAGGGAAGCTTTGGTTTCATGTTCTCATCCAGCTGCCTTCTTACTTTCCATTTTGCACACTGTTTCCATACATTCATTCTCATGGGAGGAAATTGGAAGTTGGAAATTTCCAGGAGCATTCAAAGGCTGGGCTCAATGGAGATCATCTCCTGATCGAGTCATGTCCTGACATGTCTTCCCTGGGTCTGGGTCCAGGGCTGAGTTTTTTCAAGACATGAAACTGGAGAGGGGTCCCTGAAACATTTTCAACTTGCAATATCACCTTATATTTGTATAGTTGGGTTTTAGTTCCTAATTGATTTTTCTAGTCATTGTTTCTTCTCATTCTTACAGTGACCCTAAGGGGGAAGAAAAGCAGATAAGCTTATCCTCAGGTTCTAGACCAAAACAACAGCAAATAAACCAGCAAAATCCTGGAAGCTCCAATGTATGTAAGGACATGCTTTCCCATCCCCTATTCTTTCAAGTAAATCATCGGCATCAATGACGGCTTGAAACTTGATTTCTAAAGGGCCTAATAATATGTCATCCAGATATATTTCAATCACAGAGCAGGAGAGAGAGAGAATGAGAGAGAGAGAGACAATGTGACAGTACTTTTTTTTTTTTTTTTTTTGAGATTTCATTTATTTATTTGAGAGAGAGAGAGGGAGATCATGAGAAGGGAGAAGGTCAGAGGGAGAAGCAGATGCTCCATGGAGCTGGAAGTCCAATGCAGGACTCGATCCAACAACTCTGGGATTATAACCTGAGCTGAAGGCAGTTGCTAAACCAACTGAACCACCCAGGCGTCCAAGACCATGAGACAGTACTTTTGCCTGAATCAGCTCAGACAGGTTGACCAGCACTCCAGCAATTTCCAGTAGTGCCATTGCTATGGTTCTACTCCTGTGTGCTCATTAGAATGTTTTGGGGGCACTTTCTAAAAAGGAAGATGCCTGGGCCTTCTCCAAAAGTAAATCAAACTCTTAAAAGACTGGTTGACCAGAAACATATAGGAGAGCAAAGAATAAAATAGTAGAGCAGAAAATCAAGAATGTATATCTAAAACTGTATTCTAAGGTACAGAGGCACAGCTGTGTGGGAAAAATAGTCATTAATGTAAGGCATACTTGAGGATATACCCATTAAAGTAGTTTAAAATTAAAATGTTGACTCTTCAATTTGAAAACAAGACACACACATACACACCATTAACCAGAATCCCTATTCTCACAACAGGTGCACACATCTGCCTCCTGGAGGGTTATGGCACACGTGTACGAGCACATTAACAGACATTTACATGCTGATATCATGAGCCCCATGGCATTATGACAAAATGCTGTTCCCCAAATCACCTAAGTCCCCATTCCCTTAAGTAATATCAGTAATCTGGAGTTATTTTGGCATACTAGGTATGTGCCTACTACCTGCATGGTTCCAGCTGGGAGGCAAAATCCCAGAGGAGCTAAGACAGTCGTCAAATAATAACGGTTTTCCAAGTTTTCTATAAAGACGGCTCTGGTGGCTCATAGTCATCAGGTTTTAAGCTTGGCGAGAAACATATCAGCCAGATGCTTCTTGTAGTCCACAAGATGGCTGGCAAAGCAGGAAGGATGAAGCTGGAGGTCAGAAACCAGAGCCCACCTGAACTGGTCCATTCCAGGGGCATGCCAAGAACCCTCATTTGGTTGTTGCTCTGATACACTTCCCGGGTAGGGTTGCCAGGTAAAACACAGGACACCAGTTAAATGTGCACTTTGATAAATAACAATCTCCCAGATACTGCTTCACCTTTATCTGAAGTCTGAGTTTCAAAGGACATGCTGTACTTTCATTTACTAAATTTGTCAACTCTCCTATCAGGGAAAGCTCCCATAACAGTTTCTACTACCCAAGAAACTTCAGATTTTTCCATATTTTTGTATCATTGATTAGCATCTATAAATATAGATGGAAGATATACTTTCCGAAATAGGATTCTTCTCTTTTTTGCATCTATCATATCATTTCTATGGACATGATGGACTATCCTTTAAGGTCTTAAGTCTTTCTTCCAGGTACCACCACCAGTACCACCATGAGTGACTTATACTTTGTATACTAAATTTGCAATAGTCTCCATGAAACATAAATATTCAAAAAGTGCAGATTTAGCATTTGGATCCTTTCCCCAAACCTCCAACCTTTCTGAATGCTCACTTTCAACTGAAAGCGTCTCTAGAAAATCATGATGTAAATCATATTATCGTTACTCACATAGAGGTGGCCCATTGCCGCCCTTCCAGAAAGCTACAGAGGATTTTTGCAATCTCAACTGCTCTTTAAAAAAAAAAATCTGTTTTCTATTATGAAAAGTAATCTAAAAATAGTTCCACATAACACAAGGATAAAACCATCTGTATGATCTCTCCAAAGAGCTCATATTTTATAGATTTTTATCACTTTCCAACTGTTCCAACAAGTTCTGAAATTTAAGAAAGTCATGTAGATTTGGCAGCTAAAACTCATTAAAGTATTAAATTTAATCACTAATATTGCAATTATTTTATGTTATTCTTTTACATCATAGAAGGTTCAAATCAAATATGTATCAAAGTAAACAAAGCACAAAACTACATTAAAACTCATGGCAGAATTTCTTAAATGTCACATTAATGTTTCCACCAATTATCAATCAATAAAACCAAAATATTGATGCAACAGAAAAATACCCAGCACTCCAGTACAACATACAGAGAGAATGTGTATCTGGAAATGTTAGCCCCAGTGTGTGTTTCACGAATAATTTCCAACAGGTGTAAATAACGCCAGGCCCCTCATTAGGACTGTCACATCAAAACTGGTGTGTATTTTCTTAAGAATCAAGATTTCACTTTCGAAGAATAAAGTCAGCATTAAAATAAAAACAAAACTTGTACAGAAAATCATGAATGCAGTTAATGTGATTTTTTAAACTTGAGCCATCGAGAAGTCCAGAAAACGAAACAACTGACCTTTGTGTGGACGTTCTCCATCGGGTCCCAGAGATCTCCATTCAAGAGAGAAACACGGACAACTTCATAAGCTCCCCCCCGGCCCCTTCTTCCAGCTGGCTGCATGGTGGGGGCTAACTTGCTTCCTGGGTTCACCGCTGCATGGAAAAGAAAACAGCCCGGTTCTTCATTCTTGTCAGGAAGACTCTGGCATCAGACACTTATGACATAAATGACTCAGTGAAAATATCTGGAAGCCCAAGGAAACCAGGGAAACACCATTATCTATTAAGCCACGGTCAAGGTTAGAAGTGATGAATACTCTTGTCAATCCAACCAAACAATTCTGTGACTTAAACAAAAGCTAACTTTTCCCTTCAAGTCCTATGGCATGTCCTGGGTGATGATCGAAGTATATAATTCTGTCCTCAACAAGCAACAAAGATCACACAAGTGGTGACTTTTTAAATGATGAATTAATGCTTTGCTTCAAATCAGCTCTCTCTTAAACATCTCAAGGCTTTAGCTGTATTAAGACTAAATCCATTTACTTAAGTCCCAGTGAATCAGCTCAACACAACGCCAATTCTCCTCCCTGTACTTACAGAGGCTAATTTTATATGCCTCACTGAGTGATTCTATAGACACAATTAATTGGCCAGTTCAGACTGACTAGACTGGTTTATGTAAAAAAATTAAGTCACTCAATAAACTATTATATGATCTTGTTTCTTGGGGTCCTGTCGAACCAGTTAATGTCCCGACACAGGTTCAACTTAGCCCCATTTCCATAAACAGTCCTAATGGAAAGTATAACTTTTTTTCTCTTCTGGACAGCGTATCGCTTTCCTAACAAGTCGGGTAATTTCTCTGGGATTGCTCTCCTATGAGGTCACGTTCCTGCTGTTTGGTGCGACCACAGCCTGTCCCTCAAGGTAAAGGATGGGAGCAGAATCCCTCACATGTTATTCCCATTTCTTCAACCAGGACTCATAATTTTCAGACCTGAGTCATAATAGCACAGTTTTAAGTTACTAAGGAGTTCACATTTATTGGGCACAAATGGTATTGAAATTTTAATCCTAGACATTTTACATTTCCCCAAATACTTTTAAATCCACACCATTTTATCATTCTTGATGTGGAAGTCTGCAGTTATGTTCAGGTTACAAAAGGATTACTCCTTGAGTATTAACTGTCTGACATAGCTGCTCCAGAAAATTCTCAAGCTGGTCGCAAAGCATTTAAAACTCCCAGTTGTTGAGGGACCACGGGAACAGGGATGAGCAGAGAGTTAGGGATATGGCCAATGGCAGAGGAGGTGAGTGGGTCCACTGGCCACGAGGGGCCGGGGCAAAGCGTTGTTGGGGGAGAGGACCATGAGCCACGTGAACAAGCAGAGGAGAGTGTGGGAGGCTCAGGCCTGGGACGAGCTGAGTGTTTTGGGATGAACCCGCATTCGAGTGATGAGGGTTCTAGCCATGTCACCAGAAGGGATGGGTGTGGGTCGTGACATCTGCAGACACTGGTGGAGGGCCTGATAGAAGTGGAAAGAATAGGTATCTGAATGGAAGATGTCAAAGCCCTTCTCCTGGCTGCAGAGAGGGCAGCCACTGGCACAGGGAGATCAGGGTTAGATGAGCCCTGACCACTGGCTTGATTTCACAGCCTTCATTGCACTCCCCAGTAGTGTGACATCACTACAGTGGGGGCTTCAGGGGAAGACATAGGCCAGCACCTGTACCCGCTCTTCCACGGGTCAGCTGCGGGTCTCTCCTCCAGTTGTTCTCCCCCCTGCTTGTTTGTTCACTCATTCACTTACTCATTCAACAACTATGTCTACCTTCTGATGGACACTCTGATGTCTTCCATTCAAAAAGCCCATCCTTTCTGCTTAGGGTCAGTGTGCGCTAATGTCACCTGGGTGGAGACAGCCCCTTTGCCTCCACAGCCAGGACCCTCATCTTGGAAATGCAGCTTAACCCCAGAAGACTCCGTTCTCTCCATCCTGTGTATCTGAGAGAGGGTCCCAGGTAAAGCTGCCATCAAGACTTGCGTTCTTGAATTGGCAGAAAGAGGAATAGCACGACCATTTCAGAGGGCGGTCAGGACTATGAAAGAACAGGGCTATGGGGGCTCAGTGTTAGCCTTGTTCTGCTTCTGTCAATCTGCAGTATCTTCCAAATACAAGATAATAAGAAAAACGAGGTGACAGTAGAGTCAAGGGGAGGGCTACTCTTGATGGAAAGGCCAGGAAAGACCATTACTTGTTGGAGGAGGGGGTGCACATTAGCCCAGATGTGAAGATGAGAACCTTCCAGCCCCACACAGAACCACAGGAAGAATGAGCCAGCAGAGGGACAGCAAGTGCTTTCCTTTTCCATAAAATGAGGCAGAGCATGGGGATGCCAAGAGAAAATAGGCGTGAAGCACAGAGAGCAACATCCACTGGTTTACCAGCATCATTCTCGCCAAGACCCAAGTCTCTTGCTCAGGACTCTCAGTGGGATTCCTATGGTGGAATTTACCAGAAGTTCATGCTGAGCCAGCCATACAGCTCATGCAGAGCCAGACTACGGAAAGCAATTAGCTGAGTGTATCTTAACAGAGAGCAGGTGTGTTCTTCGAATTGGACCAAGAAGGCTTTGAAATACCAGTAACTATGGAATAAGAATTGGAGATCTTCTGAACATTCCCCTAAACCAATGAAAACCACGCCACAGGCCAAGAGTCACCCTGGCCAGTATTTCACTTTTCAAAAGTTGGGTGAAACTGTTAAGAAAGTGATTGCAAACATTTAAAAATGTTCTGTACAAAAACAAACCAATTTGATTCTAAACTGTTCCTGGCAGTTCTGGAAGTTAAATTTCCAACACAAGTGGATTATTCACTTGAGCAGTTAGCCACAAATCCAGTTGTCCAAGGGCTTATTAAATCCAAAACAGGAGCTCTGCCTCACCCACCACTCAGCTGCCACAGGGAAGACGGGATGCTTTCCAGGGGCACTGCAGCCATGCTTCTCAAAGACCTCGGAGATCTTCACCAGCCTCAGACATTGGAAAACAACCTTCACATGCAACTAAACTCGCTTGAGAAGCCACATGTCTTAGAAGGAAGCAGATGGCACTAAGAGGTCCAGGTCTCCTGGGTGAATCCCTAGCAGGACTCTGCCATCAGGGGAGAGGTGTAGCAAGTCCACATCCTTGATTTGGGGGAAGCTGGAGAACCTTTGTGGGGCCTCCTAGATGACAATCAGGCTGCAGCTCCACAAGCCAAAGACAAGGAACGTTCTTAGTCCTCTGAGCCTTTTTCCTCCAAGACTCTTGGTAGTAGAAAATGAGAGTTATTTATTCTCCTGAAGGCAAAATGTTCCAAGAACTGAACACTTCCCTTTTCACCTACATATTCCATCGTCTTAATCCAAAAGAAGTCCTTTTTGGCTGAATTCTTTTTTGTCTAAGAGGCTTTATTTCTGAATAGTCCAAGGAGAATTTCAAGGCAGACTGTGCCAGTACTTGGAGAATGTTGTGCAACCTTTTTAAGAAACTGAGTAACTGCCCTGTTTGCCGAGTACAGTATTTATTATCTACGTACATGGATAATGAAGCTGTCCCTCAGCTTTTTAACTGGTTGCACAATACCACCCCAGCAGTATCTGTAGTCAGAAGACCGTTTCTTATGAGCTCTGCTTATGTATTTATACACTGGTATTTCTTTTAGATGATGCAAATAAAAATTTCATTTGTGCTGCACGGATAGACAGAATCAATTATACATAGCTGTGAGATATCAGAATGTATTTTACTGAGTGATCTTGTTGACAATCCATAAAAGCAGGTCCTGAATGATGTGTACATCTAAGACCTTAGAAGCCCAGGGGAAAAAATATGACCTTATAAAATATACAGTTTGCACACATTTTGTTTTTCCTAGTATTTGGGAATCAACATAACTCAGTTGCCCAAATAAAAAATGTGAATAACTTATATTAGGAAGGAGCTTCTGGCTTTTTTTTTCCTGCTGGGTAACCAGATACATTGCTTGCCATTTTGATAAAATGGTCAGTTTGCTTCAGTCTCATAGTGGGGAAAAAACCATATTAGATAGTTTGGTTTCTAACAAGATTTGCATCCATAACAATGAGCTTTACTTTCCCATGGGAAATGTGTATGTCTATTTTGCTTTTGTCTTTGCCAGAGCTTTTTACCTTTGGACTTGTGACCAGCCAACAGGGAAGGTATAAGACCCAATTCCGCAAGCAAGCAAGAATCTTTGCAGCAATGACTTTACAGTCTTGGAAAAGCCACTAATGAAGACACCTGCCCTGAAGAGATGTAGGATCCCCCCATGAGAGCCCCCCCAGAGCCTGGCTGCTCATGGAAGTCCTGCCTATCCCTGCTCTGGCCAACCCTCCTTTGCCTGTCTTACTAAGAACAACAACATGATGTCCATTGATGGGCATCAGTTATGCACAGGGAGAGACTGACGTGGAGTTCTGGGACAGTGAACAACGGACATCTTGGAGCCACAAGGCCCAGTCCTGGCCTTGAGTCCCCTGATCTACTTGCTCCAAGCCTACCTCTTGGGTTCTGCCTTCTGCAGAACAGGAAGCACATTCTCCCCCTTCCTAATTCTTACAGGGTAGAGGAAGCTCAATGCATTCAAAGAGCTTTCAAAAAGCTTTAATGCATGAAACTAGTTTAGGATATTCGAATCCACTTTCCCAAACTTCTATACAGGGTTCATCTGACCAAACCACACTAATGGTGTGAACGTGACCACGGTCCATCCATCAGTAGAAAATGCCAGGCTTAGGTACTGGTGTGTATCCACTCAGGCCACCCAGTGGGCCACTGTGGAAGCAAACTCTGATGAGATTACTACTCAAGATAAAACTTACACATCACATCTGGAATTTTGGCTTTAAAGGGAAACCAGTATGAACACCTGTGCAGACCTAAGAGAGGAGAACCAATCTGAGGCACTAGAAGTAGGATTAAGATAAATATTCTTCTGAAAATCTAGCTGGGGGGAAAAATTGAGGTAGCCATTATGAACTGTAAACCAATCTGGGGACAAGGCTCTGGAAACTCATAAAGCATTTTCCTTAGCCCACATATGTGAAAGCAAAAGACAATCTTATAGAACTGACCGAACG